CCTGCAAACAGTAGGTGCTCAACTAATGTTTGAATGGAGGGCTAGAGGGAGGAAGAGGAGGGAAAGTCAGAGGGAGAAACAATGTCTAAGTGCTCTGCTTTCTGCTTCCATTTGCCTTTCCCTAAAGGCAGCGTTTCAGCAGCCAGCCTGCCAGGGCACGTACCCGGCAGGGAGAAGCAGCCAGAGCAGAAAGGCCACATCCTTGGCAGCCCTTGTGTGGCTGAAAGAGAAAGGTGAAAATAGAAACCATCACGTTGCTGCAGACCCAGCACTAAGGCAAAGCACTTGATACCTCAGCTACATTCTAATTAAGGAAGGAAGGCAAGGAGAAAAAGAAAACAAAATAAAAGGTTGTGGAAAGAATTTGAGGGTAAAAAAAAAAAAAGAAAAACCGAAATGGGCTAAACATTTGTAATTTTTCCCAAAATGGACTTGTAACTGCTGGAGTGATCAGTAGAAAAGCAGCTTAAGGAATTAGACTATAGGAAATGCTTTTGTTTTAGTGTCATTAAAAAGAAAAATGTTGTTGTAGCATAATTCTTCTAATTCAGAAGACTCCACATTCTATAAATTAGAATACTAGGGTATCAGTGCAATCAAAATATAAGCCACTTTCAATTCAAGGTGAGTGGGATGAAAACAGCAAGTATTAGTTTTTTGGCATATTTTCCTCCTCCCTGCTTTTCAAATGGTGTAGGTGGGAGCCCCCAGGGAATGGGAGCAGATCTGACAGTATACAGTCAAGGAAGTTTTATCATGCTCAGTGGAATGACACAAATGTGACACCTCAACACATGCCTGTTTATGAAAGAACCAGAGAGACATTTTCATCTGCTAGATGCAGATAGATTATTCTATCCCCATGGATGTAAGGACATTTCAAGGCAGTTGTAGAGGTTAGAAGGGGAAGTGAAAAGATGGAGGAAGGCATTTTCACATTCTAAAATATATTTTCTTGGTCTCATAAACCTTATACCTCCCAGTCAGTCACCTAAAATTTAAGCAGAAAAAAGATAGTATTTATTGGGCAGTGACAAAGATGGCAGGGAAGGGGAACCTAGGGAAGAAAGTACTAGGAAACCACTCTGCCCTGAGGTGGAATACGGAAACACCAGAGATTCCTTCATACAAATATAACTGTACAAGTACCTAAAGTTAGCATTTTTAAAGTCAATTTCCAGCTAACTAGTTAGCCGCCCAGTGCCCATCCCTGGTTTATAGAAAGTGTTGGCACCTGGCTTACAGTCTCCTCTACCTCCCAGTCTGCCATCTGTAGGTACTTCCTATCCAGGTGGGTGATCCAGCCAACACTCTAGCTTCTCAGTACCTTAAGCTCCTTATCCTCAAACACCTTCATCTGTGCTCCTCCTCAGTCATATCCAGACCCTGCTGGATCCTGGAATCATTAATTTTTATATCCCCAATGTCAGACCACAGATTCCTTTCTGCATACACTGTGGGGGGAGGGAGGGAGGAAACAGAATCAACCTTTCCAATCGATACCATTATAAATTCCTCTTTGGTTCTTTAGTTGGATCTCTTTCCCATTTTCCACAGTGGCCATTGCAGACTCCGTGTCACTCACTCAAAATTCTGACTTCATCCTTCTCTCTTGACATATGACCCTGCCACAAACTTGTCTCCTCCCCCAACCCCCAGAAGCAGCAAACCAGATAAAAACTTCTTCCTCCCAAATCTAGAAACCTAACTGTATACACATCTATCGTTCTCCCTTCCCTCCTGATCAATGAAAGAGCTGCCCTCCTCTGTTTAAGCCTTATTCTTCCACCTTATTCTAAATGCCACTGCTCCTCCTTGTGGAACTCACACTACAGAGGGTGCCAAGAAAATGTATATGCGTTTTAAGAAAGAAAAAAACTGTATTAAAATTGTAATAATACATACCGATAAAAAAAGATGAATACAAGTCACGTGTATACATATTTTTGGCACCTCCAGTATTATTTCTTCTCTCATTGCTACCTTCAACTTCTTTCTCTCCTGGGGCTCATTTCATTCGTTTAAACCTACCCCACTCTCTCAAAGACAAAGCAAGCCTCTGTTAATACTACCTAACCCTCCAGTTCATCCAACTCTAGTTAACTGCCAGACTTGCTGAGAGATTTGTTAGTTATCTCCATTTCCTCATCTCCCAGCCGTTCCTCAACACCCTGGAAACTGGCCTCCACTCTTCACCCCCACCTTTATCGGACTCTCACCAATGTTACCAGTGACCTTTTCAGCCCTTATCTGAACTTTTGACAACACAGGTGACCTCCATTCCTTCCTTTCAACACTGCAGTTTCTTTAGCTTCCAAAACACACTGTTTCCCAGCCTTTCTTCCTCAGCTCATGCACTGGTGCTCACCTGCACCCTGCAGTTTTCCCACCGTGGCACTCAACACTGTGTTGTGACTGTGTTTTTATTAATGCTCTTTCTCTTCAACTAGAAAGTAAAATATTCAGGGAACATCTCTGTCCTGTCTATGACAGAAGACAATGAATCAATATTCGTTGAACTGAATTTTTTGTAACATTTTGTTGAATTGAATTTTTAGTTAAAAACTATTTTGAAAGGAAAGCATAGAAGTACTATTTAAGATTTGGTAGTCCTCTGGCAAAAACAAATTTAATCATCAAAACCATGTTTCAGAAATCTACTTTGGCCAAGAGTAGAGGCCTTAGATGTACTATATCTATCAGGCCTATCTGTCAGTCACACAGGGCTTTGAAGTTGTATCTGTGTGTTCAAAATGCTGTTCGGGGCAGGTCTCGTGTTGCTCCGCTTCTTGACTCAAACAAACAGCACAGTCGTATACACACACACAGACAGGTCTCACGAATCCCAGATCAAGAACGCTCCCCCATTGAAAGAACAGAAGGGAGCCAGCTGGGCCACTAGAACTAAAAAGGACCACCTGTCCAGTGGGCACTGAGAGTGATTAGCAGGAATTTTAACCAGCTATTTTCATTTCCAGGTTATTTATTTGCTGAAAAGGGATTGCCTGGGTGAATGAATACCCATTATTATCACAACACTTAAAAACTCAGCATGTGTCATATTTTAATACTTTCTTGATTTTCATATCCTTTTAAGCATTAGAATATGTTTGCATACCACACCTTTGGAGAAATTAACTTGATCCACGGAGAAGATGAACAGCTAACACTGAGAGTAGTTTTATTTTTCTTTGGGATATCTTCTTGAGAACAAGAAATAAAAATTAGAAATAAAAAATTTAGAAATAAAATTCTTCATTAAAAAACATCAAGGGCTAAGCATGTACAAGCCAGAATACATTGTTCTCTCCAAATAAACAGGCAGGGTAGCTGGGCATTGCTGAGTACTGGATCACTTTTAATGATACCTGGACATTTTAGATTTTCCTAATCATTGTCAGTTTTACCCAACATCCAGAACAATTAGTTCCTAGTGATGGGGTTCAGACTTTTGACCTTGTGGAAAGGTCTTTGACACTGGTGCTCATGGGTATTGTGGACATGGTGTGTGTGTTCTTGTTTTTATACCCCTTCAAGGCCTTTAGATGGTTGAAAAATTGCTGTTCCTCTTTTAAAGTTTTTAGAGGAATGGCCTCAGAGGACATGATATTTTTCTAATCTCATAAAAGGACTACAGGCTAAGGCTCCAGTTTTCCTGAAGGCCATTTGGATTCTGTAGCCTACAGTAAAGAATAAGAGGGCACAGTGGCTACACTCTACACATTTGGAGTCCTTGGCTGTCCAAGAAGCTTACTCTCCAGGGACCTTTTGAGTTGGTTATTTCTGTGGAAGATGTCCACGACCAGAGCATCACCTCTGGCAACTCCCCAAGGTTCAGATTAATCACCTTTAGGAAACAAAGTGATTCCCAACCACTGCTGGCTTTGTTCTATTGGGTCTTCGGAAAAGTCATGACGCATGTTTGCAACAGATGGCACTAGTTCATTTTTGGAAGTACTAGAGTTATCCGCATCTATGTTATTGCTATGTCATTTGACAGCTGACAGTTCTAGCTTCATTCTAAACAAAAATTGAACAATTTGGTTGAGTTTTGGAGATTTTACAACAAGTTGAAGATGGAAGACCAAACTGTGCATTTTTTGCCATATTTTACTGTTTTACTTCCATAAAGAGAAGAACGCACATCAAGCTTATGAAAAGTTGCATAAAATTTACGGTGACAATGCTCTACAAGAATGTCAGTGTCAACGATGGTTCATGAAATTCTGTGCTGGTGATTTTGATCTCAATGATGCTCCTCGGTCAGGGAGGCCCACCAAGGTTGATGATGACAAAATAAAGGCATTGATCGCATCAAACCCACATTACACAACACAAGAGATTGCAGAAACACTGAACATGCATCATTCAAGCATTCACGACCACCTGAAGAAGCTGGAATACGTAAGCAAGTTTGATAATTGGGTTCCGCATGAACTCAAAGAAGTTCATTTGATGGCACGTATAAACATCTGCACTATGCTCATTAAACGTGAGGAAAACGATCCTTTTTTGAAGCGACTGATGAGAAGTGGATTGTTTACAACAATGTGGTGTGCAAACAGTCTTGGTCCTGGTCCCTACGTGATGATTTGCCTCAAACGACATCGAAATCAGAGGAAGGTTATGCTCTCAGTGTGGTGGGATTTTAAAGGTGTCGTGTTTTTTGAGCTCCTACCAAGGAACCAAACAATCAGTTTAAATGTGTACTGTTATCAATTGGACAGTTTGAACGAATCCATCATCCAGAAACGTCCAGAGCTTGTTAATTGTAAAGGAGTTGTGTTCCATCACAACAACGTGAGACCACACACGTTTCATCACCCATCAAAAATTATTGGACCTTGGATGGGATGTGTGTCACACCCACCATACTCACCTGACCTTGTGCTGTCAGACTTCCACTTGTTTCTCCCTCTTCAAAATTCCTTGAGTGGTATAACGTTCAATTTAGATGAGGCTGTAAATCAGCACCTTGTTCAGTTTTTCGCAAATAAAGACAGGTCCTTCTATGAATGAGGAATTATGAAGCTCACTGAAAGATGGCAAAAGGTTATCGAACAAATTGGGCAATATATCATTGATTGATCTTTGTTCTTTATATAACTAAATGACCTTTGAAAAACATAGACAAAATACATCATGACTTTTCCGAAGACCCAATAGAACTCAATGAGTTGCAAGAAGTCATAAAAAAATAGGAGTTTCTGAGGCCTTCTAAGTTCCCCCTCATATCAAAAGTAAGACTTAGTATTTACATAGACATGACCCTGAATCTCTTGTGCCACCATTACTACCCCAGGTGGACCCTGCTGATGTCCAATTTTTATTGAGTTGGAAAAATGTGACAGATTTGCTCATGGTTTATTAAAATATAAACTTTTATTTAATCATATAGAACTATGATAAATTATCAAAAACACGGAAAATGAACTTTCTCAGAAAAGGCATTTCTCAGCACTTCTGACCATTTTCAGATTATCTGTGCATATTTTTGAAAAACAAAATGAAACATGAAGGCTAAACCAGATACTAATGAAAAAGTTTATCTATTATATATAGGGTGGAAGAAAGAGATAGGGATGGGATGAGTATAATTTTTAATATAGTTTTGACTTTTGATTCTTATAAATGGTTTACATATTCAAAAAATGTGATGGGGAAAAAAGTTAATATTGAATGCAAACAGAAATAAATGAACCTGACTGCATATTAAATTGATAACACAATCACTAAAAGAATTGATTTGAGTATTTTTTTGAACACAGTTTTCTTAATTGTACAATCCTAAGGGCAAAAAGAATTGTAAATAAATCTTGAATTTTAATCATTATGTTGTTGGAAGTGGTGTTGATAACTAAAATTATGTTGTATATATCATAGAATAGAGTAAATGGGTAAATATTTTAATGTTGAATACAAGAGTTCTCACACAAAAGAAGGGAGCTTCAAATATAGAGTAGGGAAAAGTAAGGAATATTCCTTTCAGATTTAAATTGGAGATAAAAGTATGACCTCATAACTTGAAAAAAATTAAATGTTTTCTAGCTCTCTCCACTGAAAAGTCTTAAAAACAGTGACATCTTATTATCAATGTGAACATTTAGTATCTAGATCTTGGCTTATAAATACCATACTTCACTGTCCCTGACTGAAGTGGGAACAGTCAGGAATGTCTTGTGCCAGAGAGTGAGAAAGTATTCAAAGATTGATGGGAACATGTCAAAAGGGCATTAACAGCCTGCTTGAAGGGGATTTTACTGGCCAAATTTGGTAAGTTTGAGTATTAAAAGAAATGATGGCAGAGGATTATAACCTATTGATTTTTTTTTTTAAACCATGTGTTCATAGTAACACTAAAAAAAATAAAAGCGACAGGAGACATGATGGGTGGGGGAGCAAGCCTTCATTTACAAAAGAGTACCGCCTAATAAATGTAGGAAAATTATAGAAATAGAGAACCCCTATTTTGTACTACCATTGTCATTATTGATTCTGGCAAGTATCATCAGTGATACCTGTCATACTAAAACCACTGGGTAAAATGTCATTTGGGAACAAATATTTACAGTCTCAAAATATCATCCCACATATTAAAAATTAAAAAAAGGAAAAGGTCTTTTTACAATGAAGAGATCTGGCAATAGACACAACTATAATCAATAATCAAACTTTGCCATCTGCAGTTGTGGGTCAGGTTGACATTATGAGAAAGGAGAAGTACACAGTGTCATGCATGCGGTATAATTATGAAAAAATGTTTAACCCGAGTCTAATCACAAGGACACTTCCAGGAAAATTCAGATTCTGTGCCATTCAACAAAACAATTAGCCTGCATTTTAAAAAATATCAATGAAAAGACCAAAATTTTTTTAATTATGGAGAATAAAGAAACATGGTAACCAAGTGCAATGCTTAATTCTTGATTAGATCCTAGACCTAAAAATAAAAAATAAAAAACACATCTTTGGGACAATTAGTGAAACTCAAATGTGGGCTGTGTATTAAAGAATACTATAGGGTTGTCAGAAGAGTCATGACGTATTTTTTCTATGTTTTTCGTTGAAAAAATACGTCATGACTTTTCCGACAACCCAGTATATTGATGCAGTTCAATTCATTGAATATAATGATATTGTAGTTGTGTAGGAGAATGCCTTTGCTCTTATGAAATACACACTGAAGTATTTAGGGGTGAATATTATGATATGTTACTTCCAAATTATTCATCAATAATAGCAACCACAACAAAAATAAATAAAAAATAATAAAGAGAAAAAGCAAATGTAGCAAAATATTAACAACTGGTAAAACAAATTGAAGGGTATACAGGTATTTATTGCACTAGTCTTTCAACTTTTCTGTTGTATTCAAAATAGAAAGTGAAGGGGAAATAATTACTGTTCGTTGATGATATATCCATCAGATAGAATTTAACATAGTTATTAATGTCTTCAAATAGTTTCTAGAACATGGATAGATATTTACATTCCCCCTTTTAAGAAATTTTAAATTAAATATTGAATAGATAAAATTTATAAAAAGTGTTAAAAATCTCAACAAAATGAACATTCATGTGCCCACCAAAATAAGGAACACTAAAGGCTCTTTTTCCCTCCCGAATCTTAACATTCCTCTTCTTTCAAAGGAACAATTATCCTGAATTTGTGTTTATTATTTCTTTGTTTTACTTGTAGTTTTGGCATAATGTGTAACTCCTAAACAATATATTTCATATACTTTAAACCTTTTTGTAAGTGGAACCACACTCTTTGCATTCATCTTTTAATTTATTTTTTACACTCAACATTACATCCCTGATACTGTTCCTATAGTTGTGGGTAGCTATAATTCATTCATTTTACTGCTTTTTAGTATTCTACAATATGAATATACCACAAATTTTTAAAAATCATTTTTACTACTGATGGACATTTGGGTTGTTTCTAGTTTTTCACTATTTTAAATAGTGCAGGTACACATATACAAGAGTTTCTCTGGGAGTGGAATTGCTGAGGCAAAGGTTATATGCATTTTCAACTTTGCTAAATAATGCTAAATTTTTTTCTAAGATGGTTTTATTACACTCCCACCAGCAACATATTTGTTTCAGTTGCAGATATTTGATATGGTCATGCTTTTTAAAACAATTTTTATTTTAAAATAATTTTAGATCTACAGAAAATAAATCCATTTATAATAGCATTAACAAGAATAAAATATTTTGAAATATATTTGACAAAAGAAATGTAAAACTCATACTCTGAAAACTGGAAAATACTGTTGAAATAAATTAAAGAAGACCTAAATAAATGCAAAGACATCCTATGTTCATGAATTGGAAGACTTATTAATATTTTTAATATGGCAGTGTTCCCCAAATTGATCTGTAGATTCAGTGCACTATCAAAAGCCCAACTGGCTTCTTTGCAGAAATTGACAAGCTGATCCTAAAATTCATATGGAAATTCAAAGGACCCAGAATACCCAAAACAATATTTAAAAAAGAAGCACAAATTTGGAAGACTCTCACTTCTCCAATGTAAAACTTAGTACAGAGCTACAGTATTCAAGGCAGTGTGGTACTGCCATAATAACAGACAAACAGATCAATGGAATAGAATTGAGAGAGTCCAGAAATAAACATTCCTATGTGTAATCAACTGAGTTTCATCCAGGGTGCCAAGACTATTCAATGGGGAAAGAACAATCTTTTCAACAAATGGTGCTGGGGCAACTGGATATCCACATACAAAAGAATGAAGTTGAATCCCTACCTCACAAGGAAAAAGTAGCTAAACATAGATAGATCAAAGCCCTAAATGTAAGAGCTAAAATTATAAAATTCTTAGAAGAAAATGTAAAATTCATAACTTTGATTAGGCATTGATTTCTCAGATACAACTCCAAAAGTACAAACAATGAAAACTAGACACCATCAAAATTAAAAACATTATGCTTCAAAGGATGCTATCAAGAAAGTGAAAAGAGAACTCACAAGTGAGAGTAATTATTTGCAAATCATATATCTGATAAGGGACTTGTATCTACAATATCTGAAGCCCTATTACCACTCAATCATAAAAAGACAAATAGCCCAATTAAGATAGAGGTAAAGGCTCTGAATAGCCATTTATCCAAAGTAGATACGCAGATGGCCAAAGAGCACATGAAAAGATGTTCAACATCGTTAGTCAGTTGGAGAAATGGAAATCAAAACCACAATGATATACTACTTCACACCCACTAGGATGGCTATAATCAAAAAGACAGATAATAACAAGTGCTGTTGAATATGTGGAGAAATTGGAACCTTATACATTGCTGATGGGAATGTAAATGGCATAGCCACTTTAGAAAATAATCTTGCAGTTCCTCAATGGATAAACATAAAGTTATCATATGATCCAGTAATTCCACTCATAGGTATGAAATGAGAGAGAACTGTAAACATGTCCACACAAAACCCTGCACACAAATGTTCATAACAGCATTATTCATACATAATAGCCAAAAAGTTGCAACAATCCAAATGCCCATCAACTGATAAACAAAATGTGGTATATCCATACAGTGAAATATTATACAGTAATAAAAATAAATGAAATATTGATGCATGCTACAATATGATTGAAACTTGAATTTCAAATGAAAGAAGCTTGTCACACAAGATTGCATATTGTTATGATTCCATTTATACTAAATGTCCAGAATAAATCTACAAAGAAACAAAGTAGATTGGTGATTGCCTAGAGCTGAGGCACTGAGGTGGGGAATTGAGGAGTGATGTTTAAATGGTATGGGTTTCATTTAAAGATCATGAAACTGTTCTATAATTGATTGTGGTGACTGTTGTACAACTGTAAATATACTAAAAGCCATCAAATTGTACATTATAAATGAGTGAGTTGTATGTGAACTATAACTCAATAAAACTATTTAAAAATAGTAGAGTTCATTGCTGGTTTGATTCCCACATGAGCCAGTGACGCTGCACCCGAGCTGAGCTGCCGCTGAGCTGCCAACAGGTGGCA